ATTCGGACAAAGGCCGTTGCCCGAAATCGGGCGCCCAACCAGCTGGAGTCAGTTGTGCAACAACTGCAGCTTCAAAGAAGGTCAGAGGAAATAGAAGTAAGGTTGACCATGTCACCTACGAACACGTCGCGACCAACTGATGAAGATCGTGTATCTCGATACCGTGATTTGCGTCGAACTCGTGCCAACCGTCTTGATTCTTCATAATAGTTTGCTAATACCCCCGTTGACGCCTTGGTACTTGGCAATAATTGTGATTAAAGGCGCGCTAACGGCCCTCCTTCTTCATGGTTTATTAAAACAACACACTATAGATATTTGTTAAACACAAAATATTTGTTCAAACGAATGATTTTCATAATACTTGAGTTCTGAAATTGAGATGAATACGTAGGCTATTTAAAGAAAAGAAATTCTAAGCTTATGAGGAATAAAATACTAATTTTAAAAGGAAAGAAACTCAAATCTAAAGTATAATAATATGTGTTATAAAATCAGCATAACATCTTCTAGAAGACTTGCTCATCAAGCCTCGCCGACCATTGGTTGCTCGTGCCTTACACGACAATCTCGCATGACATGCAGCTGGTGGGTCTTGTGCGCGTCCGTCTAGTCGTTTGAAGTCCTTGGTCAGCAATGTGATGGTCGCGATGCCTTGACCACGTAAGCCGTGCTTTCTCTGTGTGTTGTCCGTCTTCGTTTGCGTATCACCTTTGCATTGCCAAGGCCTTCGCGTGGTCTCCTCAGATCATCTCGGTTATGATTATGCAACCACTTGTGTGCGCTTTTCAGTATCGCGGTTGTGCGTTGGTTTCCTGGTCGACCAGCGCTGTCTCGGGCGATCTTGCGCAATCTGCTTCATTGACCGCGTGTCTCATGCGGCCCTGACAGGTCTTCCGCAATTGCTTAGTCCATCATGCGGCCCTCCTCGTGCATGTACGTAGCGCCCGATCATGTGATTTTGTGGGCTCGAAACCTTGATTCTCATCATTCCCGCCCTCTTTGAACACATTCTTGTCCTCAATGATTTAGATGTGAAACCTTTATTCATCAGGTCTTCAGCATTGGTGGGAATATTAACTTCATCGTCTACTTTGGCCAAAAATAGTAGATTGTTCCTTCTCAACTCACTCCAAAAATTTCAATTGCGCGTTGTTAGC